TATTCTATTTCACAGGAGCAGAGTGCAGTCAAAGACATGGGGTGTCTCACCAGTTCGTTAGTGTGCTTGGACCAGGCCAGGTTGCAGACCTGAGAGCCGGTGTCGGTGCACTGCAGAGGCTGGCCAGTCAGAGTGTTCCAAAAGCGGATGCAGCGATCGGCAGTGCCTCCTCCAGAGGCCAACAGGCCGTGTTGGTGAGGAGACCAGGCGATGGCCTTCACTGCAGCTAAGTGCTCCGTGTACTGCTGCACTGGGAGGACACTTGAGTGGTTCCACACGAGTAACTGCAGACAGCAGGTTGCAATAACAGGAGGACAGAAAATTTTTTGACGTTTTTTATAAAAAAAGGGACCCCAATAAAAATGTGGCACAGACAAAGGCATGGGCGAGATTCTCTGCATACCTTGTTATCATTTCCACCTGAGGCTAGAAGCTGGTGGTCTGTGCTCCACTTGAGCCCGCAGACTTCCTGTCTGTGTCCTTGGAGCCGACGTTCTGACTGGAGAGGCGGTGCCCTGATGTCCCGCTGCAGGATCACCCGATCACGACTCCCAGACGACAGCTGGTCGGCATTCCATGCTAGAGCACCTAGAAGCAGGGAATGACGACCAGGGGAGATGATTCACCGATCATGAATGAGAGATGTTGCTAAACAACTGCGTGAAAATAAATGAAGCTTGAATGACTGTCTCTGCCTTCATTTCCATAGACTTTCAACTTACCCACTCTGGCTGTGTGTCCTTCTAGCACAGAGAGCTTCTTCCCTGCTGCTGCATCCCAGATTTGTACATAGCCTTTGTGGGTGCCTACAGCTACCAGGTTACCCTAAAAATAGACACCACACTTTGAAGATGATACTGGCAAGTAGGAGTCTAATCTTACAATGGCACAAAAACAGGAGCAAGTGCAAATACCCTCAAACCTTTTCTTAGTTACAGCATAGGTTAAAAGCCTGAAATCATAAATCAGCTTGAATTTCTTTGAAATATCCAGACACAGTCTTGTTTCATGGCAGACCTTCAAAGTGAATCAATTATGCTTTTCCTTACTTTCTGTCATATATTTCATATATACCGTTGTGATGGTGAATTCTCAACCTTGCATAAACATATCCAAAGAATCGATAATTAAAGTAATATTTTTTTTAAAAAAAAACAATAACTATGAGCCCAAACCTCAGGCTGTAGAGTGCTCTGAACACTCAGTTTCTGGCAGATTTTCTGCTTTCAGAAACTGTAAAAAAAGGCCAGCTGTGCAGGCTTTATTACAGCATTGTTTAAAGTCCTGGACGAGAACTTGCAAAGACAAGAATCAATGAAAGAAAAACACACCCTCTCTGACCAGCCCACTGACGTCACAGAGTCTCCTTCTACAGAAAGGTCACAAAGACGAGTCACCTAAAGTTTCGAAAAGTGCCAGACAAAGGAGACAGATTAATGCGAATGTCCCAGGAGGTCGTTCAATTATGTCTTTTTCATTAAGTATGACACACTATCCAAGAGGTTTTCTCAGCTAACATGTCTCACACACACCTGGCTGGTACAGGCACTCCACAAGTAGACACAGGTACCCAGTCCCACACTGAGCACATTCAGAGAGGACCAGTCCACTAGGTTGAGGTAGAAATCATCTTGAAGCTCTGGAGCGTCCAGAACTTTGAAAGGTATTTTAGAAATCTTGCGTGTTGGTTTTCGTGGAGATCGAAGAAGTTTCTGACTGTAAAGCGCAATAACATTTAAGCAACACAGTAAATTTTTCTCCCCATATTAAGAAATGGCACTTTCACATTTAGCTGGAAAATTTAATTACCTGTTACTACTGACAGGTGATAGTGAATAGGGAGAGACTGTGTTTCCATCCTCTTCGGGAAGAGCTCTCTTGGTACTTACAGAATACTACAACAATCAAACAGATTATTTCTAACGCAGACAAAACCCACCGTAAAACAAAAAACACTTAGCCTGTTACAAAAACATTATTATTATTATTATTATTTTTTACACTAAAAAGGCTCCTCTTGGCAGGCGTAGATGGCTGCAAGCGACGATCTTCTGACTGGGGGTCCTGGACTTTCTCAATGCCTGCTCCTAGTAGCTCATTTTTCAGCAGAGCTGAGTAAGCCAGACCGTCCGCTGAAGACAAAGGAACAGACAGAGGGGAAATCAAACCAGGCTGTCGAAATGATTAACTTCAAACCCTGTGCTCCCTTTGCAGTTTCTCAGCTCTTGCTCACATCTCTGAAGATCAGGGAAAATTTTCCACTAAGCTTTGTTTAGCCCTTATCTGCAGTCTCCATGAGCCTGTCCAGGCTTAGTAAACAAGAGAAGGTCAAATTATCAAGTTTGACTGGAGCAGAAAGAGATACCTGTGGAAATGAACTGAAAATGGATAAAACTCACACCTAAAGTACATCTACAACACAGAAAAACATATTTCACTTGGGGATGGGAAAGCGAGTAACTCATAATACATGACTATCATGATAATTATTCAGTAACTAAATATCATGATAAAATATAGGCTAAAGTTTTTTTTCATCATCTTTTATCCATTACGATAGCCTTGAAAAACAAAAAACAAAAAGAAAAACACACACCTAAGTGTGACATATAACCAACCTTATTTTGAGCAAATCTACAGCACCATTAAGAGCTTTCACTCTAATACTAAAGTCTGAATGAACAAACACAGGGGTGAAACTAAATTCCAACTACACAAACATTCAGACAGAAGCTAAAGTAAAGAAAACTGAACACAAAGAAAATGCAAAAACAGATTTTGTCTCATTCACAATTTAAATGCTTGTGACAAGAGAGGTGCAGGTGGAAACACAGTTTGTCATCATTCAAGAGAAAAGCAATGGATTACCTTTGTTGCTGTCAGTGGTGCCATCTTTGGTTTTCCTATTTTGATTGTGCGACTTTTCAATTTCCTGTGTTAAAATAATCATAATCAATAAATGATCACTCTCAACCAATTCTGTAAACTTAAGTGTATTAGAAAAAACAAAACAAACACTTTTATCTTGAGAGCATTGTTCTTTTGGTAGGACAGGCAGAATAGTGCTTGGTGTATTTGCTGTTGTGGCAAGACTCACATTAATGCGATGGAAGTTGACACTCCAGTTGGCTCCAGCCCGGGAGGGAATGAAGCGATCACCATGCTTGCTAGGAGAGGACAGGGGGGAGCTGGTGGGTGTCAGAGATCGCACTGCTCCTACAGCTTTCTGCACAAGGGAAAAGAGAAGACAGCATTGTGGGTTTTTTTTGGTTTTTTTTACTCTACGGCAAACACAAACAGGCCTCGGAGTGGATTTGAAAACTCAATAACAGAACAGGAACATAATATAGATGGCAGATGGTGCGTTTGTTTGAGGTGATAACAACAGGAGGCAACATTCACAAAAGCCAGTCTTTTGGCCAGTAAGGTCTTGTTTTTACTCAACAGTGGTGACAGTGTCAATAGACTGCCATGTGAAACCATTTTTTCCCTTATAATACATGGAAAGCACTGCCCTCACGTCCCTCCTGGGAGGGGATATCATCATTTAAAAATCAAGACAATGACCTTATTCAAGATTACTTGCAGATTTGACTAGTGTTAATTAGACAGCAGAATTAGCTTTTGTTCAGAGGAGGAACATTACTTTACATACAAGGAATCAGACAGAATAGACAAAAAAAACCCTTGTTTTTACTTACAATGGGACTTGCATTTTCATTTTGGATATTGATCTGTCTGAGGAGCCTGCACTCATAGTCCTGATCCATGATCCTGAGAACAGGACAAGACCACAATAAAGTTCATTCACAAGATGCGTTCATTGACGATGTGTTTATCCTATATAGGAAATGGCACCGTGTATAGCTACCTGTCAAACGTCGGCATACACGGTGTATTTGTTGTTAGATAAATAAATCCGTTATTCAACTGATTTAAAACGCTTTGAACCGTTTATAAAACGACAATGCTAAGAGTCACCTACATGGAGCAGTAATCCCCAGAGAAACTGCTTTGTACTGATCAATGAGGCAACAAAGCTGCATTAAAACCCTCCGGAAGAATTACAAAGATAAACCAATCAATAGTTAAAATGTAGAGTTTTTTGGTTTCATTCCATCTCCAACTAACTAACTAACCAACCAACCAACCAACCACCGACGTGTAATTAAATGACATACCAGTACCTATGATCATCTGCGGACTCTGACATGCTAACAGCACTTAAATTATCTTTATGAAAACCTTAGTCTTGTAACATTGAAACGCAACCCAACAGCAGTCATTTACTTGCATATCCCACGAAGCGAAATACTGCTATCTCTGGTGATTCTCGCTGAAATGCGAATAAAAAAAATCTAAACAATCCAACGACCCAGCACAGAAAGCTAGGCTAATGCTAACGCTAGCTCAGCTGTGTAAGATATTTCTCGTATTATCACCTACCTTTCCCCCAGCAAACGCTTCCCCTGTATGCACTGTTAATTTGGTTCACGTAATGTTTTCTAACTCAGTTCAAATGTGTTGTTTTGTGCTTTTTACCCGTAAAATCGACACACACAGAATACAAATGTTTTCTTTTGCCGAGCATTCAATTTAGGCTCGCTAAGCATCACGGGAAGTGCGTGACGTCGCTGTTTTTGAAACACACATTTTCCGTTGCTAAGGAAACGTGTCCGACTCGACTGAACGCTGTCGGTAAAACCTGACCTCTGGGTTAAACCGGCAACCGAGGCTAAACAAGATTATAGTCGCACCAGTTTATAGTCAAAGATTTAGCACAGGTTTCAAAATGAGTAGCAGTTCAGGTCATGCCACAGAGAACAGAATCTCAAATGCAACAAAAATGCGATTAAAAAACATAAATTTTAATATTTTACTTTCTTAAACTGTGGATTCATGTTTGAGCATCAGCGTTGATACTAAAATTTATTTTATTTCCACTTTCAACGGTGATGTATTTGCATGATAGTTAAAAAAAAAAAAAACAATATGACAAAACATCAAACACCATTTATTGAACAAAAAGGTTTAATTCAATATACTTAATAAATAATTATTTATATAATGTGTGTGTTTCCAGAGGCCTGTACTACAAAGCCAGTATCTTTCCATTGTCTGGTTTTTACTCAACTTAACAACAAAAGAGATGATATATTTGTAAAGTTTAGACTGGCAAAGTGAAGCTTATATAACCTTTATCTATCCAGATAAAACGTCCCATTGGCATTAAAAATATATTTTTTTTTGTAAGAGAGATCTGGCCAAGAGGGCAGCAGAAATTAAAACAAATATAACACAGTTGTATAAAAATATTTTCAGTGGTTGAAAAAGGACTGCATTAATTACAATGTATAATGCAGTCATAAAGATACCAGCAAAAAGCATATTTTCTTTTTTTATTCATAACTCTTTCATAAATGCTGTTGACTACTGTCTGTTTACAAGTATAAACCATTTTACACACACACACACACACACACACACACACAACAAAACGCAGAAACATCAGAAATCACTTTCTGGCAGCTCCTGACTGTCTAATAATCCCGACTGTGTAAATTGACAGACTAATCAATATCACCATTTAAGGCATGGTACAATCAGGATTATAATTATGAATGAGTATTTCAATATAGTAATGCTTGAAGGACAGTTTTAGATTTCATTCTTTCAGGTGTGGCCTCTGTGGTGTCTGTTACTAAAGAATAAATTCATGCAGACCTCCTACTGTGAAGGACAAGAACAGTCACACGCATCAAAATAAAGAATTCTGAAGAATCCTAAATAATGAGTTGTGTGATAATTATGCATTTGTAAATTTATTTACAAATTAATTTTTAATTATTTTATTTATTTAAACATTACTAAATTAATTTATTGTTTAATTAAAAATAAAATATTTCAAATATTTCCATATCCTGACAACTGTCAGGCATGGTGGTGGAGGGCTGATGATTTAGCGTTGTTTTGTACCCACAAAGGACATTACGGGCACAAGTTTTGCAGAGTCCAGTGAAAACCACATAAAAATCAAAACTTGCTTTGAGACTGTGCTAAAAAAAAAACCAAAACCCCCCAAAAAACAACCCGTCTGCTGTGCTGATGTTGCATGCCTCTTCTCACTTCATTGACTTTTTGAAGCCTCAGCTCCCTGTTCACAACTCCTCCTTTGCTGGTGTGTGGATTCAAACATCAAAATGACAAAGGAAATTGTGTCGTTTGATAACAGAAATTGGCTTATGGAAAATTGATACACAGGCATTTCTTTACACCAGGGAAATACGAAAGCTCAGTCTCTCACCTTAGCTGAAATTATTCGCCTTCAGCATCAACTTTCCTTTTTGTTTCATTTTGTGTATTTGTAGTAGCAGTGGAGGTGTGCCTGTCTGTTTAGTTTAGTGTGTGCACAGGGGCTCCAGCTACACCCTGGCAGGCCAAAATGTATTAAGAACCTATAGAACCTAAGCTACAGACTATTTACAAGAGCTGGATGTAGCCACCGACACACATTACATCTGTGTGTGTGTGTGTGTGTTATCAAATGCTTTCACTTTTGGTTAACAGATAACACACTGGATGAATTTAAAATTTCTTTCAAATGGCTTTATTAGTATAAAAAGAGATGCCAGTGAAGCAGATGTTGTTAACTAAAAACAAACGTTCTATGTGCAAAACTTTTAAAATGAAGATACATTCAATGACATGCAATTACAGAGAGACTCTTGAAAAACAAAGATTTTGCTAATTTGAAAGATGTAAAAAAAAGTCTTACAGGAAACTTGAGTTGAGAGCAAAATGTCAGCTCTCGTTTTCACAAATATTCATGTGATTTGTTTATTTTTGTTTCCTGAATCATGCCAAGAGCCTGGTTTTTAAACACATGGTTCAACAGCTTACATAAAGGGATCTGAATCAAAGTGCCACAGAAAAGGTACAGTAGGCTGATCAAGTACGATAGTTGTAATAAAAGAAACAACCCTCAACACCCAATAACTGTGCAAAGGTATTGTCTCAAACACTAAAGGAATCTAACAATAAGGCATAACATGATAAATACACATATGGACAGCTTTGCCTTTTTCACAGACACTGAGTAAAATATGTGGCTCAACTCAGCAGCTCAAAAGACTCAAAAACAGTTCAAATCAGAGCAGGAATACTGCCAAAGGTTTTCTAAATCAGGCACGCCATTAACTGTAAGCTTCTTTTAAAAGGCTCCATTAAAACAATGGTTTACATGTTAATATGTCCTCAAATTAGATATTTTGAACATAGTTCTACTCACATTACTAATAGTCCTGAATGAAAGTCGCTCTTGAAATCACATTGTCTGAATGTATAGCATCAACAGTAGAAAACATATAATGTTTATACAGGGAACTGATTAAGGCCAGAAGTCTAAAAATGACACAGAAAAGGCAAATGAGAATGCCCCGAAATCACAAATATGATAGTGCTGACTTAACCAAAGCATTGCGTTGACAAAGATGCAGCAGGACTAAACTGAGGATGGCTTTACATTACCTAAGACACCTGCATAGGTCTGAGGCAACCCGAGATATAATAAATGGAGCGCAGTAAAGCTCTAAGGAGCAAGATTGTGGGCGATAACGCTGTGGTTTTCAAACCAGTGTGGAGTGATGCTGGAATGGCAGAGTGAACTAATCAAAATAAAACATATAATGTGAACACAGGGCGCTGGTCTACAGGGAGGAGGTATCTCTAGCCACAAGCGGCCGACCGTTGCTGACCTGGAAACGAGCTTCATCGGATATACCATACTGCTCCAAGGGGTCCTGAGGAGAAAGCAGGCAGTGAGTAAAACAGTGTACAGGGAAAATTAGCTGTTACTGAAGCAGAATCAGAGTTTATATGAAATGTTTACTTCAGCAAAATCAGACTCAAAGAACCAAACAAATAGAAAAGCACTCAAACCTAGAGGTCAGAAAGCCTGGCTTTTACTTAGAGATTTTTGAGATCTCCAGAGGTTAGTGGGATTTCAGCTGCGGCTCACACTGCAATGAATAATTATATGCACAATCAAATGTACAACACGAGGAGAAAAGCTTTTGCAGCCTGTCTCATCCCGAGTAACTAGGAAATTGTTTCTAGAGAGACACATTGCTAATTGAGCTTTCTCTGGCATGTTTCGTTGTGTGCTTTGAGAGTCATCATGAAATTCCACAGTGTTGTTTACATGAATCTTAGCAGCCGAGAAAGCTCAGCATTGCCGAGCAAAACCAAAACCATCCCCCTTCATTAATCTACCAGTCTGTCTGCTATTGATGATGATGATAATATGAACTCCAAACCGCACTGTAACCATCCCACAGTATGAACGCTGCTGATTAGAAGCACCATCTGTGTGGCATTTAGCGCACCGGCGTGCTGCTGCGAGGGGTCTCACCTTCCCTGTGAGCCTGTGGATTTCTGTTCGATAGAATATAAGATTCTTCCTCATGAACTCGTAACTGCAAGAGATTAGACAACAAATTAACTTGACATTTAGGGAGAAATAATGTTAGACAAATACAGTAAAGATCAGAGCTGCAACTCAGCTTGTAACATTACACACAGTCACAGGAACTTCCTCTGGAGCAAGGATCGACTTAAAATGTTCTGTACAGGAACATTTTAATTGTTTGTTGCTAGTTGACAGGTAGCTGGGCCATGCTAGCTACGTTACGCAAGCTCAGGGTTTCCACCAGTGCATTACAAACCCGGCAGTCTGCCTGGCCTCGGCTGACCTCCTGTCAGCTCTAAGCACAATGAATTTTACACTCCGCTACCAAGACGGACAACTCTTTATTTTCAATACATCTGTCTGGCAGAGAAACAGTTTTGCATAGCTGATTTTGTAGTATTTTTATAGCTCATCTTATTAATATAGTTACTATTATTATTATTACTGTTACTATAAAAAAAAAACTGCTTAAATAAAAAAAAGTGGAATAAAGAACAAATGTTTTTGTTTCATACCATTTACCTGTTCAGCTGATCTGTGTCTACTTTTTGTCCACTAATAAAATCTCTTATTGGTTTATGTAAACAAGCTAAAATATGAATGGGTTCTCTTCTGCTTGGCTTCTTACTGATTTTAGCAGACAGCATCATATGACCCCTATCCTTGCTTCTTTCTGCTTCCTTCCTCTATGGTTTAAATCTGATTTTAGGA